TTTATTACAATTGTCTTTCTCTTGTCAAATTCTGCAGTGACAGTTCCAAACATTTCTTGCCTACCTCGAGTCCTCCCTCCCACCCTGACGCCCCCTTTTGTGTCCTGAGGGTCCCAGCCTACCTCATTTCCTACACACTATTCCCTGCCTCCTCTGCTTCTGTCTGCCCCTTTTCCCAAGGCAAGCCCACTACCCATACATTGCGTCTCGCCTCCTCCTCTCTGTTCATTTCCAATCTGCATTCATTATCACGAGCACCTGCGATGTGTCAGGTGCATGCTGGCAGTAGGTGGTGCAGTGACAGACGGCCTCCTTGGTTCAAGACTGCGGTTAGGATCGTGGCTCTGCTGCTATAGGGGCCTGGCTTAGAGCCTGGCTCTGCCTTGGTCCTTTGGTAGGTGACTTGGTCTCTGCTTCCTCACCTGTAACACGTGGGAGTAATCATACCCATCGCAAAAGGTTACTCTGAAGGTTCAGTGAGATAACTTGTATTTATAGAGCTGGGCCTGGCACAGAGCCAGGACTCTAGAAATGGAACCGTGGCTGGTATTTCTTTCTTTTTTGTCTGTCCAGCTTCCTTTTTGTCCTCCTCATTCACGACTGTGTCTACAGCACCTGGGATAGGGCCTGGCACTGAGGAGATGATCAACACGTGTTTATTGAATGACTAAATGAATTTACTGGCCATGTCATTTGAATTTTGTTTTTTACAATAAGCAAGTAGTACTTATTATAATAAAAAATCAATCAAGCTTTAAAAAACTCCACAACTGCCAATAGAATGGTCAGGAGCTGGTTTGCTTTACAGATTTTGATTGAATTTCCTGTTAATCCTCATGCTTCTCAGGCAGGAGTCAGTGGTCTTTTTTTTTTTGTTTTGAGGGCATCTCTCATATTTATTGATCAAGTGGTTGTTAACAACAATAAAATTCTGTATAGGGGACTCAATGCACAATCATTAATCAACCCCAAGCCTAATTCTCAACAGTCTCCAATCTTCCAGTCAGTGGTCTTTAAATCATTATTAGTAACTAATCAGATGTTCTCGTTAGCAACCATTTCAGACATCACACAAAAGCCCTTGGGACATCATAGTTCCCTCTAATCTAGATCCTTCCTAAGCACTGAGAAGGCATCTGTTTCTACCTCAAAAGCAGAGGAGATGCTTGGAATAATGGCCCACCAGACCCTCCATCCTCCAACAAGCTCCTGCTTTTCTCAATGGTGTGATAGGTAGCACCTCCCCCTGAATGGCCTCATTGGACTGGACAGTTTATGCTGTCCTGGGGAAGAGAGGATGGGGAAATAAAATTCAGAACAGAATCTCCTGCCAAGCCAGCAACTTTTCCATTGAAGGAGAAGAGAAAGAAAACAGTTTTATTGTTGCATAAACATTAAGCCAGAATGTGATTCGTATCACAGGCGAATCAATAAAGAGATTACAAAGACAGAAAGAAATCTCACCCTTATATGCAGCTAAGCAGATGCAACCCATTATATCCATGTTCTCAGGATAAATAACTAGTTCTCAAGTGGGAGGACTTGATGGCATCATGTCACACACAGTTCATCCTAAATCCACTGGTAGGTGCAGCTGTTTGTGTTTACTAATTGTCTTTATCCAAGAAATGTGAACTTGTCATATCTCTACGAAAAGCTTGTAATTATAATAGGGAGCTAGTCACCTAAGTGAAGCCTTGCCTAGACTAGGAGAAGGGGGTTCTATCTTCAAGTTCACATTTCAAAGAGATGGCTCTCAAATTCATTCCTGGGTTGTAAAACTGGCAAAAGCTTATTTCATCCTTAAAAAGCTTTACATACATTTCAAAGGGGCAGAGAAAGAACTTACAAGTTTTCTAGGGAAATGTTCTAAGAAAAGGAGAGGGTCTTGTCTCTTTTCGCACCAAGGAAAACTGATTTTTTTTCCTTTTCAGTTTGATTCTACCCTTACAGAGATGATCACTATGACATCAGGCAGCGGTCAGTGCCTTTGGAAGTGTAGTAAGGGATTAGAGCATTTTAAGATCTGGCCAGAACTGTGCCAGTGTCTTGCCTGAGGGTTTGAGCTCCGGGGAAGTTCAGTCTGGATTCAGTGAGATCAAGAAATGACAATGGAACATTCTTGGGGTAAAAGGGCTTATACCCAACTTTATTCTCCTGGTGGTAGGTTGAGCACTAGAATCATGTCTACATCCAACATTCCACAGATTCATAATCCTCCTTCGTCTCTGCATCCACCCAGACACTGGGCAGAGCTCTTTATATAGTGACTCGGTCAATAATAGCTTATTGCCTATGGGTGTGGAGGTATTAGCTTGGCAGTAGGCCAGTTACATCAGCAAGTAATTTAGAATCAGGAGAGGATCCTGGCCAGAGGCCCTTCTATGTTCTGCAGAGCCAGTCACTGGGTTGTATTGGTGGATGGCTTGGCCACAGTCCTTGCTCTGATGGGGCTTTGAGTCAGGTGGGGCTAATGGACAGTGAACAAATAGCCCTGTGAGGATAGTAGCATCGTGAATTGTGGCAGGCAGAGGGGCGATCAGAAAGGCCTCCTTGAGAGGGAGGCCTTGGACATCTGAAGGGTGCAGAGGAGCAGACACAGAGCTTTCAGTGGGAATAAGCTGCCAAGCAGAGAGGTGGCATGGGTGCATTTCTGAAGGAAGGAGAGAGCCTGGTGTGTTGGGGACAGGAGAATCAGAGGGGGCCTGAGTGGCAGAGTGCGAGGAAGGAAGGGCATGAGTAGGCCTTGGAAAAGGTTGCCAGGGGAAGATTGGCTGATTTTATTCTTGCTGCAGTGGGTAGGTGTTGGGAGAGTTTAATATCAACAGTGACAATCTGATGACCAAATTAACAGGTTCCTCTGCTTGCTGTGTGGGAATGGCTTGGAGGAAGCAAGATGAGAAGCTGGGAGCTCTGTTGGGAGGATTTTGCAGAATTCTGAGTGAGAAAGGATGTGCCTTGGGCCCACTGGTGACATTGGGGCCATGTAGGAGGAGTTGAGAGACACATGGAAGTGTGGAGTGGGACAAAGAGAGGGAGCCTGGGTACTGCTGTGAAAGGTCATGGGGAGGACATGACCCTGGACAACTTGCGAGCTGCTCAGGGTAGTGGAGGCCCCTTACCCCTCCACTCTCCTTGGAGCATATGCTCTGCCTGCCTGCCCAGGCCCAGCCATTTAAGTCACAGCTCTGAGAGAGCCACGTGGTGTGGAGGCTCTCTGGACAGTGCAGTGGCTGAGCCTGTTGAGGCCTCTCCATAAACTCTTATGGTCTGTCAAGTGCAGAGATCTCATCCTGCACCACCCAAGAGAGGCCTTATAGGTTCCCTGGCTGGGCAAACCTGCCACCTGCCCGTCCCAGTGACCTGCCTTTGTCCTCTGTCCCTCCCTGTCTTCCCTGCCCTCTGAGTGCAGCCATTTTCAGATTTTCCACCAGGATTTCACATGGTTGGGCCCAGCAGGGATAACTGCAGGACCTCACAGGGAATACTGCAGGCAAGAGCACCGGAGGGTGGCGGGCTGGGCATCTACAGAGCTGAGAAGCTAGGGAAGAGCCCACATGTGGACTAATTGGGGTTCTCCTTTGGAAAGGTTATATTCCAGGGTCTTCATTTCATGTCAGGGGCAGATCAGAGCTCCATCAATCTCTGAAGCCACATCCTTTCTAGTCTCTCAACACATGGGTGGATTCTCAGATTTTGACCTGCATGAACATTTAAAAGTAATGTTGACTCCTGGATGACCAGGGAGTGAGTGAGTGAGTGAGTGAGTGAGTGAGTGAGTGAGTGAGTGAGTGTGTGTGTGTGTGTGTGTGTGTACACCAGCCTCTCATTTGTCTGCCTGAAATTTGGACATGGTTTTCTCACCAGCCTTCCCCAGTCAGCCTCTGTTGTCATTCACTGTCCCTCGGGTCCTGACCCCGGTCAGAGTGGCCTAGAATACTTGGTTCTAGCCGGGTCCCTCCAGTGACTGGCTTCTGGGAGTGACAAGCTAGTGATTTGATCTCATTAGCCTAATACAGCTTCTCCATTTTCTCTCTGTAAGTTGGGGACAAATACCCAGGGCCACCATGCCCATGAGGCAGCAAAAGCATTGTAGAGGGCTCTTTGGGGGAAAACAAATTCAATTTGATTAGTTTCCCCCTTTTTTTCAGATTCCCAAGGAAAAGGGTGGGAGGTGGAGAGAGGTTTGACCTGCCAATATCTATCCAGGAAGAAGCTTTTTAAATTACTTTAGAGACAGGTTTCTGGCATTTGAATTTTAGTCTGGCTATTTGTCTGCTAGCTGACCTTGGCCATGTTACTTAATCTCTCTGGAGTTTCCTCATCTATGAAATGGGGATAATAATGTTGACTTTCTGGGAAAGCTGGAGGTTGGGTACACCAAGGCTCTTACAGTAGAGCCTGGCAGGTAGTAAATCTCAGTACTGGCTTTAATAGTCTTGCTGGATGGAAGGACCACTATTTATTATTCTTGCAATTATAGTGCTTTTATGCAGGGGAGTCTCAGCCCTTGTTAATAGATGCTACTTACTGCATACTCTGCTGCCGCGCTAGGGCTCAGAGTACTTGTGCATTGCCACATTTGCACTAACAACCCCAAGGGATTGGCATTGTGGTCATTTCCATTTTGCAGATGAGGGAATTGAAGCTAAGGGAGGCAAAGGTAGGGACATGTGGGTCTCTAGGGCCTTCCTGACGTGAGAGGCTTCCTGAGCCATGCCTGGCAGGAGCCCGGTTTGTCCCCGTGAGACGCCACCTCATTGAAGCCGCCGTGCAGCATCCCGGGCACGCTCTGCGGTTGAGGACTGAGCGCTCCTGCACGAAGCCTGTTTGGGTCCTGGGAGTAGGTCTTTGTGGGTTTGCCCCCAGCAGTCCCGCGCTGGGCACTGACAACCCTGTTCCGGGCTCTCGCCCAGCAGGTGGCGCTGCAGGCCCTCCCCAGTCCGCGGCTGCAGTTCCGGCGAGTTCAGTTTGCAAAGCAACTGCTTTGTCAGTCTCGTGGGCAGTGCGTCTGGACCTTTCAGCGAACCGCTTCTGCACGGGAATCTCCATTAGGTTCAGAGCTGGGCATGGAGGTAACCGTCACCACTCACTCTGGGTTTTTTTTTGTGTTGCTGTTGCTTTTGTGTTTTGGCTGAAATTTTTTGTTGTACCAACATGGGTGCACATTTATGCAAAACATATGGATTAACTAATATCCTGTGCAAACAGGGGGAGTCTTACAGATGAGAAATGAGGCCCAGGTGGTTAAGCAAATGGAGAGGTGGAGCCAGCAGGACCCAAGTCTGCCCCAAGGTGCTCTTTTTCGAGGTCTTCCAACCATCGAATAATTATCATCCCTCCCCCTCTTCACGAGTCCTCACCCCACTTTTATTCTCCCAGCAGAAAAATGGGATGATTATTGGTGGCTAGGAACAGGGTAAATAGAAAAATGCTTTTGAGCAGTGGATAGTGATTCAGGTACTATCCTGCTCATGGCTGGGGAGGGTCGTTGGGATATGGGGGGTGGGAAGTCTTTCTGGGATCAGGGTGGCAAACCCTACCAGACCCCCAGGGCCAGACGGTGTGTGATGGAATCAGCAAGGGCTGGGCTTGTGAGGCCCCTAAAAGGGCCTGCTGCCTCTAGGCCCTGGCACATGATGCGCCCACAGTCGTCGTATCTGCTGCATTCTTGAGATAAGCCGCGGGCTAAGTTGCACATTCTTCCCCTCTCAGCAGAGGTGGAGTTCGTGTTTCCACCCCTTGCATCTGGGCTGGCCTGTGACTTGCTTTGGCCAATAGAATGCAGTGGAAGGGATGGTCTCAAAGGGGTCTTGCACATTCCGCTCTTGCCCTTGGAACCCGCGAACAAGCCGGGGCTAGCTTGCTGGAGGAGGAGACCAAGCTGAACGGGGCAAGTCATCCCAGCTGAGGCTCCAGAACCAGTCAGCTCCATCTGATCTGGCAGGTGACCATCAACACGTGAACAAGCCCAGCTGCTATCAGCCAAGACCCCCCAGACCAGCAGAGCCAACTGACTGAGTCCCACCAAACTGCTGAGCCTTAGAATCACAAGGCAACAATTGATTGTTAGACAGAAAATGCTAACTAACCCTAGCTGGCTGTCTACATTTAAAGCATGTAACCGCTCCTGATTTTTAAATGTTGGCAATGAATTAAACAAACCAAAACCTCTGTAAGATGATCCAAGTATCTCTGAGTTACAAATTAGGCCCCCGGAATCACCATTTTGCAATCAAGGCCATAAAGCCTATGGGATAGAAACAAATATTGCTTCACTGCTTGCAGCAATCTTGGCACATGTAAATCTTTGTGAATTTATAAGTACTAACTGACTGTTAGTGCAGAGAATGATTTATTGTGACTCCCCTCAGAGGGCACTTGTCTGTGTGGGCTGTCCTTTTAGGACATGGAGTTTCAAATTTTCTATCTGTGGGTTTCTTTGTTCAAGGTTCCCTCTAGTCCTGTTTAAAAATAGAATCTTTATGCTTCAGTACTGTACAAAGTCCTAATCTTGTTACTGCAGTGAGGCTAGGCACCCAAAGAGCTGAGCTTCTGCACACAGTCTTCTTTAATAACTTCAGTGGTGAGTCATCAAGGGCGTTGACTAGTCAAGGAAATGAGTGTTTTGAATCGTGGCCCTGAGAAGAGCTAAGCAAGGTAGCAGGAAGGAGCTAGGCTCTTCTTTCACACTTGAGATTTTCAAGGTTTCCAAGATGTTTTCCCTGCATTGTCTGTGAGACTAGAGAGCCATTAAAAACAATCTTGGTCCTAAACACCTGCCATAGTGAAACAAATGTATTTCCCTCAGATTTGCAAAACTGGCAAAGAAGATAAAAATTCTAAGGGAGGTGGAAATGGCCAGTGATCCTTTCAGGGGGATTTCTCTCTGAGTTACTCACGGATGGATCTTTTATGAGGTGGAGAAAGGGTTGTGATTGTATGTATTTTACACGGTGGAGCTCAGCTGGCTGTCCTTTGACTTCTGACTTGGAGAGAAGGCCCCGCTTCTTTGTGCTCACAGATGCTTTCAGTGTTAGTCCCATTTCACAATCTGTGGTTACTTCAGCTAATGGACTGGGGAAGAGCAGGCACTGTTCTTTAGAGCTGCTTCTGTCTGAATGTGGCTGGGGCTACCTACATAAGGGGCACAAGGGGATGACTTTTCTTATTTTTTTAAACTGAGATAATATATATATATTTTTTCAGTTAAAAAAATTTTTATTTTGGTATCATTAATCTACAATTACATGAGGAACATTATGTTTTCTAGACT